GTCACAATGCTGCTCTCCTGGATGATCGCCACTTGTGTGATGCTTTCCACGGTTATGGAATAAAAGCAATTTCAACTTTACTACTTCTTAGTGGATTAAGTTATGCTTAGCTATAAATATACTACTAAAGTTGTTAAATGCTAGTGTACATTTATTAATCCCCATACATATTAGAGCTATGGAAGAAATAAACCCATATTTATTGTATACATACATCTTTTAGAATTAAAAGTCAATATCAAAATGCACTGAAAAGCTATTTTTAATCTGCAGCCCACAAAAAAAAAATTATACCCCGGATAAGTTGTATGCACCTAGATAATTCATTTAAGATAAATATTTATTTGGCAACCAAATCATCAAATAAAACATTATAAAGTACTAGAAAAATATTTTTAAAAGCTCTAGTTAATTTCAGTTTTCTCCACATCTTTGCCAGTTGGCTGCACCAAGTTTCACTCATCCTACTGAGAAACAGTAAGGGCTGAGTGTAGCATACATACGACCATCAAAAATAATGCCTTTTTTTTTTTAAGTAAGTACCTCATAGCATAGAAGAAACCAGCAAGCAGATCAGTACAGACCAAAATGGAAAATCATTTGTTTGACCTTTGATAAAATAAGCAAACAATGGGTCAAGGACATTAACAATTCCCTTAAATATGAAAGGGTGAACTTCCGTATCTAAAAATATTCTCTTCTGTAGCAAAAATCTTATGGCAATTTTAAACAGTAGGACTGGTTTTGAGGGAGCTACAGTTCCCTGGTGACATACAGTGGAAATCCTGACAACGTTAGCTCTCACATTGTAGAAGTATGTTATACCATTGCCCAGATTAAATGCATTTAACAATTGATCATAAAATCTCCCTCAATTTTAAATGCCTGAATACTAACTTTCAAACATTTTTAGAGAGCAATTTCACTGTTGCGTCTTAGGTAAACCTTAAAAAGTGGACTAAATTCAACTCTGGCACAATTTACGCAGGCATAACTCTCATTCAAATCAGTGGTCAACATGCCAGCAATGCCAAGGCTGAATTTAATCCACAGTGATAGAAAAGCACAACAAGTTAAAGTGCCTTAGCATCAAAACCCTGCAATTTTATCTTGTGGACTACAGTTCACCTTTGAAGAAACACTATTAAAAGTACAACCCCCAAATTTAACTAATTGCAATTAGTTAGAAGTGCCTACATGAATAGTGTTTGGTGTTCCCCCTGCTGGTTTTGCACTTAACTTACAAACACTATTCCTCTGGGTATGACTTGATAATACTGGTGTTTACAGGATGTTTTGGCATGACAAGGAAATGGAAAAGGGAAAAATAAGATTAGGCCTGTTCAGCTTAGAAAATAGATGACTAAGGGAGGTTGGGGGTGCAGGGAATATGATAGAAGTCTATAAAATCATGAGTGGTGTGGAAAAAGTGAATAGGGAAGTGTTATTTACCCTTTCACACAATACCAAAGCTAGGGGGCACCTGATGAAAGTAATAAGCAGCAGGTTCAATACAAACAAGAGCTAGTGTGGGAAAAGTACAGTGCAGAACTGCCTTGTGGCACTTACAACCATGGGAATGTTATGATGGCCAAAAGTATAACTGGATTCAAAAAAAGAACAGGGTAAGTTAATAAAGGATAGGTCCATCAATGGCTATTAGCCAAGATGATCAGGGTCACAACCCTATGCTCAGGATGACCCTCCACTTCTGACTACCAGAAATGGATCACTCCAAATTTCCCTGTTCTGTACACTCCCCTGAAGCTCTGGTACAGGCCAAGGATACTAGGAAAGATGGACCATTGTCTAACCCACTATGGAAGTCCTTATGTTCTTATGATGCTGAAGTTGTGTTTGTTAAAAGAAAGAGGCATGATCATTTAAAATAAATTTTTATTCACATAATATGACTATCTGAAGTTCTGGACAGCTGTCCAAAAGCTAAATAATCAAATATGTGTATTAGCACAAGTGCCCAACATGAACCCCCCCTCCCAACTAGGACTCTCCCATCACCCATTAAACCCCACTTTTAAAGCCTGAGACAAAAGAAACTCTGAAGTGTGACCTCAAGGTTAGCAAATTTGGGTTTGAGCAAACAACTGAGGGAAGCAAGTTCCAGAACTGAAATCATGAAAGTGTAGTGCTGGAAGTGACCTCAAGAGGTCATCAAGTCCAGATCCCTGCACCGAGGACCCTTCATTGAAACAATGAAGTATACCTCCAACCCCCTCCTGATTAAACCCAGGAGTTTTTAGTTCATACACCTCAGCTGATTTCAAAAGCTGCAGTATCTTCCAGAAAGAGGGTCAATCTCTCCCGTAGCCAGGATCCAAACCATCTACCACTTTATAGGTTAAATGAAAGTTGTTCTAAAGAATCAATTTTTCCATGAAAAACTTTCATGAAAGTTCTTGCTGAGAATATTTTTATACAGCTCTAGTTAAAACCAATCAGTACCAGGAATTCAGTAGATAAGGTACTTTTTGCAATAAGTGCTACTAAAGAAACAGGTATATATACTTTGCACTAGTTGTAGTTACTGGCTAGTTCAACTTCTAAGATGTGCGTGTTTCATAAAAGCAATCCTGAGCATTGCTGCTATCCGAGCCTTCCATCTCATCTTTAGACTAATCAGACCCTGAGGCTTTGGACATTAGTAACAAAAAGTGGGCACACTTCCTCCATGAAGGGAGCCAATTGTCATCTCCAGCCTTTCTTCTGCTATTTACACAGTCAATTAGCATTTTTGAGATCTTATCTAGTTTGAGTTTCAGCCAGCTTGCCCTCACAGCCCCAGCCACAAAGGTAAATAATATGTTTAAACAGAGGTGACAGGACTATTTATTTCTGAGTAGAGGTGGGGAGGGGGAAATCAAACTATTTTCATTTTATCAAACAGATTACAATGATTATCTGCATGCAAGAAACAGGAGTCATATAAAAATATTTCCTAGTAAAGCTAAATTATATTGATTGACACCTATTGGAGAACAAAATGATGCACAGAAAAGTTAAAATGAATTAATAATGATTTATAGAACGAATGTCATTCAGAAATTATGTCATTTTGATCATTATAATCGAGTTTACCATGGAATGTAAACGCAAGGACAGAAAGGGGGGGAAAAGGCAATGCGCACACATATATGCCTTAACTTATGCTTGAAACACTCCTATTTAACAACAGTCAGGATTTTTGCTATTTTGAGAAAAACCACAACCTCCCCCAATACCACTCAATCTCAAGTGATATAACTTTGCAACTATATGTGAAGCTGAAATTGTGAATGGTCCAATAGTTTTTTACTTACATTTAACTCTCCTTTAACTGCACACATTGCAGTACTTTGATGATTGTTATTTAGAGAAGTAGTAAATACTTACAAATCTGGAGTTACTGAATTGCAGTACTTCCACTGTAAAATATGCAGCAGTAAATCCCATGTGTCAACAACCAAAAAGCTATCTTTTTCTGTACTATATCAATGAAATTCTACTAAAATGACATACCACTGGTATGTGTTCTCTCTTCCAATACACTAAACATTATTAAATTATACACTGCAATACTACACTAGAAAGTTCATAAGCCAAATTCACTGCTGGCATGATGAAGTTCCAGTTTATACCAATAGTGAATTTGACTTGATGTCTTTATATATAGTCACTAATGGACTACAAACTTCTGTAGCTTTCTTTAACATATGGGTCTGAAAAAAAAAGAATTTGCATTAAAACACCTGTAGCATTTAATAGGAAAACTGCCTGCCTCACAGTTCCAGTATTTTTTCAAATACAATGCTTTGCACTTCGAACAGTTCCCCCATCTACAGGATCTTTGATTCTTTACAAACATTAATGAATTGATCCATATCCCACCCAGGCAGTGGACATTATCCTCTTTTTACGTATGGGAAAAGAAATACACAAAAAAGTTAAATGCTTTCCCAAAGTCACTAAGTTACTCAGAGAACTGTAAACAAATCCCAGATAATACTAAAAATAATAAAAATCTTTGCTACAAAACTACAAGACCCAAGTGTGTGCTAAGCACAAGTGTCTAGGCCCCTAATTTGCTCTGTTACAGTGGTGCCATCCAATTAAAAATCTATATGATGCGCCAGTGTAAGTGATAATTCAGTCCCTACTGTTTAATAGAATGTTTTTGTCTATTAAAATCTAAACCTACCAAGAATCAAACAGTCATGGTCAACAAACCATGCCAATAATAATAGCAATGTTTGCACAACAGCAAAGAATGTAACAGAAGACAATATGCTCCAACGACAGTCAGGCTTTTCCTGAGTTCACAGCCTACATAGAAAATGTCAGAGGGCCAACTTAAATGTCAGAGCGCAAAATTATGCCGTTAATTACTCCCAGGCACTCCAACGAAGTCAAGTTCTGCTTCGGGAAAAGCGAGCGTGACAGGGGTGTAACGGGTGGGGGGACTGTGGCCCTGTGACTCAGCTCTCACTGATGTTCTGACACACCGCAGCTGAAGTGCAGAGACACCCAAATCCCAAGGAGACGGACACATGGGAGAGAGGGTGAACGCACTTGCGGTGAGCCCCATCAGGACTACACACACCGCGTTACTTCCTCTTCCCTTAGGAAGATGCCGAGCAGGGCATCCCGAGGGCGAGCAGCTCCAAGCGCCGGGCTCAGCGCGGACAAGCCCCCCACCAGGGAACCCCGCTCACCCACTCCCAAGGGCTGCCGCAAGTAAACACACCCCGCTCAAAGCGGGGGCGCCCCCGAAGCCCTGCTCGTGGGCGGGATGTCAGCTGCTCACAGGCAGCGGCAGAGTCAGGAAAAGCGCCGAGCAGCCCCAACGCTGCGAACATACGCAGCAGGGAGGCTGCCAAACAAGCATCCCCAAAAGCCCGCAAACTGCACGCACCCCCCCCCGCGCGAAGGGACCCCCTGCGCTGCCCCCCGGGCTGCAGCTGGGGCAGCCCGGCCACCCGGGGCAGCGGCTTTCCCAGACCTACCTCTCAGCGGGTCTGTCAACCCGGGACACCCCCAGGAGCAACTTCAGAGGAAACAGCAACAACTTTCCCTGCGCTCCAGGGGTGCAACCCGGCTACGCCATCCGGAGCCAGCTGCCCCGGGCGGAACGGGCCGCGGCAGGGGCCGCTCCGAGGTGCCTGCGAACGCCCTGGTCGCCCCGAGCGGGAGGAGGAGAGAAGCGCCCACCCGCTCCACCAGAAACCTGCGCTTCACCCCATCGGGCTGCGACTCCGAGCAAGTTGGAGCAACACGCACCGGGGCGGGGCCTGCTTCTCGGCCGCGTCAATCAGCGCCCAGCGGCCCTGCTATTGGGCGAGGGGCGGGGACTGCGCTGCGCTGGGCGCGTGGAGCCGTGGTCCTCGGAGACTCCGCCTCCCTTCGGCCCGCTCGCTCTGCGCCCCTCCCCCCAGTTGATAGATGAGCTCCGAGCGATTCTTCGGCCTTTTCCCTTGCCCCGGGGCGGCTCGTTTCCTCGCAGCAGCGGAGTGCGGGGCTGGGAGAGGCGAGGACATGCACAGCGTGTTGCTTGGCGGACTAGTCCCTCCCTTCAGCGAGACACACTGGCCGCAGTTTGTCATGTACGTTTTACTTTGGTTTAAACCCCAGACACGTTATGCAACAGTCCAGCTCCGTTTTTCCAGGAAAAGTTTGGGATAATATTTTAACGTTGTCTTTTCAAGATCTGGGTAAAAGATTGCCAGATCTAGCCAATGAGGCCTAACCTTGCTAATTCTTCCTGTTAATGATGGACAAGTGTGGATGTAGGCACTCCTTCGACATTAAAAAAAAGAAAATCTAGTCATATTGCTGTAGCTGGTCCAGATTCTGTCGGTGGATCTTCCTGGATTTAGACAGTTTTTGGTTGCAGTCTCTCAAATTCTACTGCCTAAATAGAGAATATTGCCACTCTTGCTGCATCTTATAAATCTGGACCCTACTGCACCCCAGTGCAACAGTGTTACCAAAAAATACTTCAGATTCAGCATCTGTATCCTGATAGATTCTGCCAAATAATACCATCATAAGACAGAGCAAGTGTTGCTTCTACTATTACACACACACACACACATGCAAGTGTTACTTCTACTATTACACACACACACAAATTGGCTCCAATACATACTAGTACTGCAAAAACTAATTTTTGCAGTTGTATCCTGTTGCAGCTGGCTAATTTTGGGCAGCATAACCCTGAATTTTACTGACAAAACCTTCTCTGACATATGCACCTTATCCTAATCCACTATAATAACCCAGATCCCAAAGTATCATGGTGCAATTTAGGATGATATAGGAATTATAAAGTCACAAAGTGATTGGCTGGCATGTCCTAAGGGCACTTTTAGATCCATGTTAGGTCACTAATTTCTCTATGAAGTGTATTGACTGATCTGCTAGAAGATTAATTATTGTTGTAGTAAACAGGCTGAATATTTGTTTTCTGTGCTAATACTGTAGGTAAACATTTAACAGGACATTTAAATTTCATGTATATTATAACCCTGGAGGGAAAACATAACCGTGGTAATAGCTAGAAGAAGGAAAATAATTTGAAAAGGAGAAGATGGTTGGTTGCTATTGTGTTCTATAAGTTAGATGTGCGAGTCTGTGCCAAGTTCCTTGTTTTATAGGTGGAAGTCTCCCTCCTGCTTATAACAACCTTCAAACTGACTCATATTAATAGAATGAATCAGGTATTTTCATTATGCAGAACAGTAGAAGAGAATGATAATCAGAAGTGGAGTGGGCTAACTGAAACTGCATTGGACTGGAAGGCACAACTCTTGACTCTGTCAAGAACTCACTGCATGACCTTCAGTAAGTGACGTAACCTGTCTGGGCCTAATTCATCCCTGTTGTAACTCAGCAGAAGTTAAGGGCAGAGTTGGTTGGGAACAAGTATTTCCATTCTGTGGAGAATTTTGACACTTCGGTGAAGAATTGTTCCCAACTGGAATGAAAAGTCAAAATTTTGAAACTTCCTGAAAAACAAAACAAAACAAAAAATATAAGAAATTTGATTTGCAACCATCTAAATGTTTTGTTTAGATAATATCAAATAGTTTTATTTTTAAAAAGTCAAAATGTTTCCTTTTGTTAAGGTAAAAACATATTTCAATACAATTGAAATGTTTTGTCTTCACTATGGTTTTAATTAATTTCACTTAGACTTTTATTACATTAAAATATGATTATTCATATTAACAGTGTGTACATATATTATAATTAATATTTTAATATATAAAAATCTAAACTATGAAAACAGTAGTTGAAACAAAACATTATTGAAAACCTTATTGAAACTAAATATTTTGATGTTATCAGAACAAAGACAGTTAAATTATTTGTTTTGCTATTTTCCTGTCATTTTTTAAAATTAATATGTTCCTGCAAAACATTTTGATTGTTGACAACTGCATTTCTTTTATGAAAAACTGTTCTGTCAAAAAAATTTCAGCCAGCTCTAGGTAAGGGTTCATAATAGATGAATCCTTTAAGCCTCATTTTACCAATCTGTAAAATGAATTTGATAATACTAACCTCCATGACAATTAATTATTATGAGAATTAATTATTGAAGCATATTTTGGGGTCTGTAAAGGCTGCTTTATGTTGCTCTAGTGTCCATTTCCCAACTTCCCCTTTAAAAATAATCACCATACTTAGCACATATAGCACTCTACAAATTTTAACAAATTAAGGGCCTGCTCCTCCTCCCCCTGAAGTCATTGACAAAACTCCCATTAACTTCAGGGAGAGCCAAACTGAGCCTGATTCCTGAAAACACCCAAGTAAGTAAATATCATCATTTTCAATGTACCTATGGCGAAACTAAGCTATAGAGAGGTGAGTGGCATTTTAGGATGCTTTTAGAAAGGTTTATCCATTGAATCTATTTTACTATTGTAATTGTTGTAACTGTTTGTGCAGCATGCTAAGCATCTTGATTTCAGCAGAGATCAGTAGTCTGATCCTGTATTGCAAATCCTATGTTCCTATGACTCCTTCAGGGAATTGTAATGATTGGTTGGATACAATTTATCAGCTACACATTTCAATTTGTAATTAAAATACTTTGCTACTACCACTAGCTCTACTGTTTTGTCTTTTATCCCTTCCTTGCCCTCCCCCCTCGATTTTACTATGCCTCTTAAAATACTAATTCACTGCTTCCTGCAGCACAAACCATACGTCACGCCTGCCTGTGAGGTGCCAAGCACTCATTTTCAATGGCACTGCTGAGCACCTCAATGGAATGGAATTAGGCCCAAAATCTTTATTCTCTGAAATTACTCTGTATTTCAGTGGTATCACTGTGAATCAAGTGAATCTACAGCTGCAGTCATGAATACTCACTTTAGATTAAACAATTTAGTAAGTAATCTTATAAAACCTCAGAAACAGGCAAAGCAAAAGTTGGGGCCGTTCCTTGGCAGCCTCAACCCACCTAGACACTTTTTGTGATTAATTTTGTAAGTGTTTGGAAAGTTTTGCATGTTAGAACATGACATGCCCCTATCTTATCAGTTTCAGGCTACATCCAGGTTGCAGACTCTTTGTGTGTAACAGAGAGGTATGGGTGGGGAAAGTCCCTGAACAAAGAGGAAAAGTAATATACTGCAACTCTGAAATGCAAACTTTGCTATTTTATATCTACTTTATATCCACATATTCAAATTGAATAATATTGGTTAGATATGAAATCAAGCTAAAGAAAAAGGAATGTGTTTTGTTTTATTTTAAATCTTAATGTAGGCCCCAATTCTGCAAAGATTTATACATGTGTTTAAAACTACCGATGTGAGGATTCCATTGAAATCAATGGACTAGTGAGGTATGTGAAATGTGTATAAGTCATTGCAGGATCAGAACATACCTTTGTTCCCTTTGAAGTTAATGATAATATTCCCATTGTTTTCAGTTGATACAGAATTAGACCCTTCGGGCCCAATTCTATAAAATATAGAGCAGCTCTTAGAAGGTGCTTGTCACTGGGGCTGGCCAAATGGCACCCCAGGCAAAGAGCATCTTCTGCACCCCCCCTTCATTGGTTAAACTATTGAATACCTTATTTTTATTGCATTTATAGCCCATTTCATGACTTGGATGCACAATTTAGCCCTGTCATATAAGGCGATACATTTGCTGCAAGATCTGTAAATCTGTATTTATTCATGCCATATATAAACAAATAAAAAAATTGTTTCCTCTAAGCTTATAAAAACTTTTTAATTTTAAAAATAACTGAAATATAGTAACATCAAGACATTGAACTGTGCAGCAACATTGGGTGGACCAGTATTAAAGAGTGTTACAGTAGGTGACAGTCTTAGAATATTAACCCTAATCCTTTAGTTCAAAAGGTTGCTTTTCTCGCCTTTGCCCTCATGAACTGAAACAGAGCAACATCAGAGAGATCCAAAGACTGGCCAAGGCATTTTCAAGCGATAAAACAGCAAAAGTCTATGTTCCGCAGTCTTAGAAAGTCATCAAACGTTACACGTTAAACATGGCAAAATAAGTAAGAGTATTTAATGTACACTGTTGCATAGATAGGGGTAGATAGATATCTCTGGTGTCTCATTAAATAGGTCCTTTATTAGTCGCTATTTATACTCTTCAAGTCTTAAAACACAAGTACACTTTCACAATTACACAATAAAACAAGGTTCACAATATCGCAGCTGGGCTCTCACTTCACTTCATTCTTGTATCTCACTGACTGGCTGGTAACACCCCACCCCTTATATACCCAGGAGGGCAAGGCTGACAACATTCTAAGAGGTTCAAGGAAAATGTAGTTCTCAGAAAGTCTGAAAGGTTCCATGAGATTCTACAAAGGTCCAGAATATTCTAGGAGGTTAGTGAAAAATGAATCCACATATGGAATACCTGAAACATTTTACTTCAAACATTCTGTTTTCCCTTTTGTCACTAACAACAAAAAGAGCACCTTGAGCCCAGCGCCCCCACAAGCCTGGCACCCCAGGTGGTACCTGGGTCGCCTGCCCCTAAATCCAGCCCTGGCAGGCTGGCCCTGTAAGGGGAGTCACAGACCAGCTTACTTGTGACAGGCCCCTATAAAGGGAGAACTAGCCAACTCGGACCCACTT